CCTCCAAAAAACACGCCCACCCGTCCCTGTCGCTGCCGTTGTGACAGAGGCGGCCCCGGCCGCTGTTCCGGCAGACGCTACCGTCATACCCGTCGCCACTGCACCTGCTAACGCACAGGTCGCGCCCGACGCCGTCCCCGTCCCCGTGACCACCACCACCACTACCAGCGAGGTCGTCCAACCCATGCAGGTCGAAACCACGCAAACCGTTGTCCCCGTCGGAGAACCCCAACCCGTCCAGCCAACCGCCGCCGGCCAGGACGCTGCCCAACACGTCGGAAACTTGAAGGAAAAATTCGATAAAGATTAGTTCTTATTTGACGCCCTTTTCTCATCAACCTTGTTTCTTATTATCTTCACCATTTACTATTGCATTCTTTCGACCCTTTCATGCTCAAGCCCCAGTACCTTCAACGCGCATGACCCACCCAGAGGGCGCATCACTCACCCAGAGAGATACAAAAACTTTTGACGCACGCCGTTTAATACGCACACTTCCGCACCGCAAACTTGTACTAAATACCGACGTCTTGGAAGCAAAGGATCAACACGCACGCGGTACGCTCTTGTGTCAGGTATTTTAGGTGCTTGAACGTAAAATACTCGAACATAAAAGAGCGCGTGTGTGCACACATTTTGCGCGCTATATTTTACTTCTTCCGCCTTTTCGTGACCGACTGTTCCGTCTGTGAACAACAGGTACAACTCTCCGAGCAGAGATTGGGGCCTCGAGCGGGGTAGCTCTGAGTAGAGAAGATTTCTGATCCCCCAGTCCCGATCTTGAGAGAAGGCCCAATACCGCAGCCCCGGTCTTGAGAGAAGGTCCAATACTACCAAAAAATTTCGGCAAGCATACATCTCGCGCTTCCTCCTCCAACCGTCTCTATAGTGGGTATGTTGACAGCACAAATATGTCCGATTATATCTTTTTGCTGAGTGCTGAAAGCGTTAGCAGCGGTCGTGGACATGACCGTTGTAATTGAACCAGCAGAGTTTCTAAGGGCGAGGGTATTTCCGCAAAAGCGGTCGGCTTGGTCTTCGGCAATGGCAATCAAAGGGCGGCTGGGCTTCGCTGAAAGAGCTTTGGTTACCCGTTCTCTATCCATTGGGTCAATAACATCTAGGCATACAATTGCGTATTCCGGACAGACTGACATGAGGACATTGGTGTGATAAAATAATTCCTGATTGCAGCTCCGTCTCGCTGTAAACAGTATGGGTTCATATCCCATCTTCGCACACCACTCCGCAACTAATTGGGAATCTGTGCGGGGAGAAATGGCCGAAAAGCAGATCTTGTTTTCGTGGTCAAGAACCATGCTTCCCGTTCCTTCTAGGAATTTACTTTCCTTCTCGTAAGAGGTCATGTCGTCTGTGAAATCTGCCCGTTCCTGGAGCTTTTTGGTTGCCTCACCCAGTCGCTCAGTCCTTCTATTAGCACCACACATAGGATACAGCACTAAATGCCTCTTGCCATTTCGGGAATAAGTAGAGACCCAGTTATTTGGAAAGATCGAATCCGGTGTCCTTGTCATGCTATTTTCAGTACCCGTATATCCTGTCACATCCTGAGCCTTTATCACCTTAATTCCCTCTTTCTCCAAAGCCGCAACCATATCGTCAAACTCTTTTTGCGCTCTCTCGTTTACTCCGCCTTCATCAACCCTCTGTTGGAAGCTATTCGTTGAACTTGTGTCAGGATTGAACCCGAAACAACTCGGCCGTACCATTAGCACTTCATTTGTTATCATTCTAATAAAAATGCTTGATGCCCGGAGTTAAACTGCGACAAACACACGTGTGCGGCAGATTAAAACCCATTAGAGTAATCAGTTGTGGGATGTAGTTGGTGCAATTACTCGCCGGACATCGGTCGCCCCGTAGTCTTCACCATCTGGTCCTGGTTCTTTGGGATCCTTGTGGACTCCATTTTGTCTTTATCCGTGCGTGTTGACCCTAATATCAATTGCTGCTTTCGCCTGAGTGCCACCATTGTACGTATACTGACCAGTGTGAATGGTAAGGATACCTGCTAGATCGATTCAGTTGAAATTCAAGTTTGTGAATTGTTCGTATGCGTACATTCTGGTGAAAGTATTAGAGAATTTAGTGAGGGGCGTTCCACCTTGTATTGCTCGGAGTAGTCTAAGTTGCCATGATTTGTTTCAACCTGCAAAGTTACCTTCCTCTGTGGTGAAGGATATGAGTTGTTGGATAGAAAATGGCTCTAAGTTGATGCGCTGTTTACACTACTATAACATTCCGAGTCCTATCGGCAGAGTATCAGGGGGGAGTGTTGGTATAGGTGTTGGTATGGGTGGTTTGGAGCTAAGAAGACGATGTAGTATTCTTTGTTCTTTGCTGTCCTTTGTGAAGGAATATATGGGTTCGAACGAAGTGAACGAGTTTGAGATGATGATGTTAACTCAGACGCAATGTATAGTACTGTCGAATACAGGCATAATTATGTTGAAGACGAGCAAAGCATTGCGCCTACGATTAATTCAAGACCAGTTGATAGATGAAGAGGAAGAGGAAGATGAAGAGGATGAAGCCACGAGTACTTCCGGAGATCATTCCTACGGCACAGCACTCTCGTACTACCGATCTCTCGTTAGGGTGACGGAAAAGAATCGGTGTTGCAAAGTTATTAGTTGGCTAGGTAAACTGGTAGCTACAGAGGCAGGACTTATAACTGGCGCTGGAGACTCTGTGGGTATTCTAGCCCTTGCTACTTTATCAGTGGTACAAACAACATTCCCCTTCCCTGGGCTTACTTGTAACGTTTACGAACATAAAGTACTACATAACAATGACTCTGTAGAAATAGCCATACAGTCCAACACTAACGGCCCCACCTTCGCCGCTGGCGGCACTGGTGGGGGCCACCACGCTAGAACTATTGGTGCAGGTCGTCAGCTAAGTTCCATTTACGACGACAGCTGTATCTTGCCCCTACACTCGGTCGGTATATTTGCTGCCTATCGATCTATGGTTCTGGATGCCAAGATGGAGGGGGTGTGTCTCTCCGGTGATATTCAGACAATACAGCCGCTTCTCAACATGATCAAACCGACGTTTAAAGCTCTCATACCATTGCTGCCTTCTACCGATTCCGCGCGTGAGCCGGTAAGCAGGTCATTGGGGACTAGGTCAATTCACGCGCTAGAAGATGATTCGAGAAGTATGTCACTCAGTGACAACACCACCCGGCATTTCGCTCAGCATGCCGCCCGGCATCATGATACCAGCAGGTGGGATACAAGTGTTCGGCCAATCGCGCCCAATCCCCAAGAGCTGGCTCTGATTATGCTCGAATACTTTGGCGGTAACCTATCCACATATTTAACCGTCGATGCGGGGTATGACACTCAAAGACTGCCCAAGCCTCGCGGCACAGACGAGACCAAAGGCTCTACTCGCCCCCATGGCCGCGGTTCGGAGGCAAGCGCCGCCGGTGATAGTCTATTCAAGCTCCCAACCAAGAGACAGTCTCGGCTGTCCCTGACCAACGACCGGGTTTCTGGTATTTCCACAATCGAAGACACTTTACCCACGTCGGTTAAACGAAACATGATTATGGTAGGCCCCAAACGAATTCTCTTAGTTGGTTCCAACAGACATGTGGGCGAACTAAGGAGTAAAGCCGTGCATGGAGGTCTGATACGATGGGCTACAGGATTTGAAGCTACAGGATCAGGACCTATAGGATCTGCAGCTACAGGATCTGTAGCTAGAGGGTCTGGGGGGGATGAGGTTGGCGTGGGTATTCCTTTGATCGAATTCTTCTCGTTGCTCAATTTGACTCGTAGCAATGTGATTGGGGGGCAGTCGCACATGCCTAATGAATTTCAGACATGGCTAAGGACCCGAATAGACATGTTTGTCTTCTCTGATTTCTTAACCGAAGATTGCTGTGACTGGCTGCTATTGCATAGAACCAGCAGGAAAAGGAACTCCAATGGTGAGCAAATGCGCCTCGCTCGGGATTCAAGCAAGTCAGGACATGAAGCGGTTGCGGAGGACCAAGACGCACGGAACCAGGACCAGGGCACAAGGGGTCAGGGCACAGGGGGTCAGGGCACAGGGGGTCAGGGCACAGGGGGTCAGGGCACGGGGAAGCGCGACTCCTTGAAGGATGCAGGCGACAAAGAAGCGCGGTCGGAGCCAAGCGTTACATATTCCTTCACGCTGAGGTATATGAGGCAGCTTTTGGATTTACAAGAAGACTCCGCCTTCTCCTCTCGTGTGCGGACAACGCAATGGTTGCTAGACTTGTTGGAAATATTCCATGGCCAGCGGCTGGATCACGAACGGCTCCCCAGGTACCTAACTGAACTTCCTCTCAACAGTTGCTACAAGTCTGAACTGCATTTCCCTAGTCCGGTGGAGCAGTTCTCCAAACCCCCCAAGACTATTTACGTCATGCCCCTTCCGACGAAGCAGGATACCTGGCACAGACCGACAGCCATGCTCATACCATCCGCCTCCGCCGCCAGTCGACTAGTGAATTCACCAACGTACAATGTTTTGAACAACTGCTCATACGCAGCACACATATTGAATCAACTTGTACGACTCCCCGCCTCCCAGATCCCCGCCTCCCAGCTCCCCGCCTCCCAGCTTCTTCCGTCCAGCCAAGAAACACAGACTGTTTGTCCGATCACCAGTCCAACCACTATGCTGGAGTCTACGGATGTCACCTTAATCGGGATCCTACCTAAGGGCATACCTAGCAACGAGCCTGTGGATCGTCGGGCTTGCAGTACTCCGGAAAATGGTACTCAGGAAAGGGGTCCCGGACTTGGAAGTACGGAAGAGGATGCATGGGAGCAAGTCCAAGATGCAATCTGTACAGATTACAACACACTGCGGGAACAACTGGACGACCAAGTACAACTGGTTCTAGTTTCCTACTTCTGGTTAGAGGATTCTTACTGTGCTGGTGCGCCTCTTGATCCCTCCCCATATCGAGTCAAAATTGCCTACGGCTCCACATTCCAGCTCGTTGACCCAAAGGGCATCGACTTCACCAACAGTCTTCAAGACATCGGCGATGAACCAAAGTCACCCACACCAGCTGGCGAACAGGACTCTGTCCGACCAGAAGATGGCGATGGCTCCAGTGACGATGACTGCAGTGAGGGGGGTGGCTGCGGTGATGATATCTTTGGAGATGATGCGTCGGTTGACGACTGCCCGAGTGATGGTAGCTCGGAAGACCATAGCTCAGATGAAGATTGCTCGGATGAAAAGTGCTCGAGTGACGGTAGCTCGGAAGACCATAGCTCAGATGTGAGCAGTGAGGAAAACAAGGGCAGGGGTGGATTAAAAGAACGAAGAGGGCAGTGTCGGTATTCCTTGGCCGGTGGGGATCGATCGAAACGATTGCGGCTGTGACAAGAACAACCGGCCGTGATTTCGGATATCTCAAGACACTATTCCGGGTATGCCTTAAGGCACATTCGTATGCCTCAAGGTCTCCCTTAACTAGTCCGGGTGGTTAGCACGGTGTTGCTTTCAGTAAAATTCCCGAATCGTCAGGCGGTTTAGCCAGCTTGTCCTCGATTCGCAAGTCTAGTTGCGGTCTTAGCCGCATGGGTGGTCTTAGCCGCATGGGTGATCTTAACCGCACGGGTGATCTTANCCGCACGGGTGGTCTTAGCCGCATGGGTGGTCTTAGCCGCACCGGTGTGTGCAGACTTAGATTCCACAGCCCCGTGAGGCCAAAGGAATGGAGAAAATGGCGACAACAGACCCCAGAACAACTGAACCGATGACCGCCAACGACACGGGTCTTGTGAAGGGCTCATACCAGTCTGGGCGCGAGTTAGTCGTAGTCATTATTAGTCCTAAGCAGAATCCGGTGATGAAGCCACCGGCGTGACCACGCCAGTCTACCACAGAGTCAGGACCGATGGACATCATGAGTGCCATCATGAAGAAGAAGCTGAAAAGCAGCAAGAGTCATTCTTTGAAGGCAACTAGGGGAGCACGTATGTGGGCCAAATACGGGGGGGAGGGGGGAAACATAGATCGTTGCATGAAGTCCAACTCGGATAAAGTCCAACTCGGATAAAGTTCAGCTCGGATAGAGTTCAACTCGGATAGAGTTCAACTGTGGGGGGAAGCTGCAGCTGAGTTAGGGTGAAGCCCAGTTGGGTTACTTACAGAATGTTGAAGGTGACTTCTTCTTTTCGTTGTAGAAGGTGCCAGTGTAGCGCGATTTGCGCCATTTGGATGCCTATGAGGCCGAAGCCTGCGGTGCTGGCTCCGACGGCGTATTTGCAGGGGGCGAGTGCAACACTGAACAAGTTGCCTGCGAGTCCACAGAGTAGATACATGCCGGCAAATATTCGAGTTCCGTATTCCTCCTCGAGCGGGAAGCCCATGCGCATTTGGAAGAACATGTTGAAGAGGATGTGCACGAAGCCGGCATGAAGGAAAATGGGCGTGATCAGCCTCCATACTTGACCACTTACAATGGCCGGACCGTAGCTAGATCCCTTGCTTGAAATGCCAAAGGGTAACCAATCCATTCCGCCATAGTACTGTACGGTACACAATACGTAAATCGCGATCTGAACCATGGAGATGATGAATATGAAAGTCTTTGGCTTGAATCCCGGAAATAGCAACTCTATACAGCGCGGCCGTTGCCCGCGCCCCGCCGCCGTCAGACTAGGAAACGGCGCCGCCGAAGGGTTCCCCGCATTGCCCGATTCCAAATCCCGCAGGGTATGCACCTGAACCATATTTTTTTACTGAGTGCCAACCACCCCACACGTAATTAACCTATTTTTTTACACCACATGCTCAACCTAACCCTAATACTACTACGGCACGGTAAGTGGAAACCTATTTCGGGGCGGCACACACTATTTGGGGGCTGCAAACACGATTTGCTGCACACACTCAATTTGGCTGCACGCACGCACGCACGCGCACACATCATTTGCTGCGCACTTGCCCGACAGCATTGTACGCCCGATACGTGCATAAAAGTATGTGACATCTATGTAGCGGAGTCTGTTTGGACGCACGATGGCAAGTTCACGGGTTGGTCGGACGTAAATTTATCGGAAGTAGGGATTGAGGAAGAGAAGAAGGCATCGGAAAGGCTGAAGGAATTCTGTATTGCGAGGATCTTCACTTCCGTGCTCCAACGGTCTATTATGTCGGCGGAGATTGTGTGTGCCGTAACTGGCCAGTCTCCGCCCGTGGAATCAGATTGGAGGTTAAATGAAAGGCACTACGGCGCGTTGGAAGGCATGAGTAAAAAGGAAGCCACTCTTCAGTACGGAGATGAGACCGTCAGGGCCTGGAGACGCGGCTACCATACACATCCACCACCCGTTGAGCGAACCGACCCCAGACATCCTTGCCACGACTCCAAGTACGTCCAGTTGACCCCCGACCAACTCACGTCCGGAGAGTCGCCTGAAGACGTCTTCAACCGCGTACTCCTCTGGTACAACCAGGTCCTGCTTCCACTCCTACAACAGCACATGCCAGAGCAACAGACTTCAGAACAACAGACTCCAGACTCCTCCTTGACCGTCTTGGTCGTCGCCCACGGCACTCCGCTTCGAATGCTCATGAAACTGCTCGAAGGAACCCCGGAAGAGGAAATTGAACAGTTCGAACTGCCATCCGCGGTGCCCATTGTGTATAACATCCGCTATAACACCACCCAGAATCGAACCATCGCCGGCAAATCAATCTTGATGGATCCAGACGAGTTCCGGACGAGACAGCAACAAGTGAAAGCGCAAAGCAATCCGAAGGCATGACATCTAGCCTACACAACGCATACGTCATCGTGTGCGCGCCATCTAGCCTTCAGCGGGACTCCAGCGGGATGCTCCGGATCAGATTCCGGTGGCTTGCAACTATTCTTTTTCGTCGCCGGTGTTGTCCGTCTGGTCTCCTCCCTTGCACCTAAAAAAACGAGTAGGGTCCATGCCGCGCTGTTGAAGGATCCCGGTTCCGATTATTCCCTTTCGACCGGCCCTTCCCTCCGGGAGAATTGGTGGGCTTCCACGAACTGGATTGATCATCATAACTCCGGGCTCCTCCTCCGTAAACGTCGTGAGTTCGAGATGGAGCAGCGTCGTAATTCCGAGGGGGAGCGTCGTAGTTCCGGGGTGGAGCAGCGTCGTAGCTCCGAGGTGGAGCAGCCTCGTAGTTTCGAGGCGGAGGAGCGTCGTAATTACGAGGAGCAGCTCCCTCGTAGTTTCGCGGAGGAGCGCCTTCGTAGGTCCTGACAGGAGGAGCGTCGTAGTTGCGAGCAGAAGTGGGGTCGTAGCTACGGGGAGGCGCCCCGGCAGGGCTCGCATCATATCCCGGTGATCTTGCCGGTTTCCAGTTGTCTCCAGCACCCGACTGTTTCCAGTTATCTCCGCCACCAGCTTGCTTCCAGTTGTCCCCACCACCTGGCTGTTTCCAGTTGTCTCCGCCACCAGTTTGCTTCCAGTTGTCCCCACCACCTGGCTGTTTCCAGCTGTCCCCTCCACCGGGCTGTTTCCAGTTGTCCCCACCACCTGGCTGTTTCCAGTTGTCTCCGCCACCTGACTGTTTCCAGTTATCTCCACCAGGTTGCTTCCAGTTGTCCCCTGCACCTGGCTGTTTCCAGTTGTCCCCTGCACCTGGCTGTTTCCAGTTGTCTCCAGCACCTGACTGTTTCCAGCTGTCTCCAGCACCTGACTGTTTCCAGCTGTCTCCACCACCTGGCTGTTTCCAATTGTCTGAACCACCTGACTGTTTCCAGCTGTCTCCACCACCACCTGACTGTTTCCAGCTGTCCCCATCACCTGGCTGCTTCCAATTGTCTGAACCACCTGACTGTTTCCAGCTGTCTCCACCACCACCTGGCTGTTTCCAGTTATCTCCGGTTTGCTTCCAGCTGTCAGAGGGTTCCGCGTTCCGAGAGGACCCGTAGACGTCGTAGGATCGGGCCGGCACAGCGGCGGGAGCGTGTGCAGTGGCGGTCTCCCACGAAGAGTAGATATCTGCGGGGTTGCCGGAGGGGGCGGCCGCCGCGGGGGTCTGGAGAGCAGGTGAGTCCCAAGAGGAGTAAATGTCAGTCGGTGCTGTGGCGGTAGTGGGCGCACCCTTTTGGGGGATGTAGTCGGCCCAGCTGTCGAGGGGATTTGGGCTGGCGCCAGAGGGGGCGGCGGTGGGGCCTGTACCAGCGCTAGTCATGGTCGACGGTGGGGGTCCACCGGGGCCTCGTGGGTGGGTGTCTTTGTTGCTGCCTGCCTGGTCCGTGGCATACCAGGGCCGGTCTTCGATCACCGGCGGTGGTGCCGTGCTGAACTGCTGCTGGCTCTTGTTGAGCAGCGTCGACCACGACTCACACTGCGGAGCCGCCTGCTTCTTCGGAACCGCCGCCGGCGTACCCATGTTGCGCCAACCATTGATACGTGGGTCATACTTAACCGACAGCTTCGAAATCTGTAACATCTCACCCGGCGTCGATGTACGCATGTTGAAATGGAACAACTCATTCACATGACTCAACACCTGCCGATTCCACTGACAAATAGACTGTGGAATCTTCAACAGATTGTACTCATCCGGGTTTATGTTCGCGTTCGGTACCACCGACTCGTTGCGGAACACGTAGACCTTCATCTTCTCCAAGTACGCTGGGAAATGCCACAACTCCGCATTGTGGATCAACGGCTTCCACGCCGTCTTGTAAGAACCCCAGGTCAAGTTCAACGGAAACTAAATAAACGCACACGTGTGTCCAAGCAAATCATGTGGGGGAATAACGGGAGGGGAGTAGGGAGTAGGAACTGAACGGAAAAGAAACTGAGCGGTGTAGGAACTGAGCGGAGTAGGAACTGAATGTTGTAGTAAATGAGCGGAGTAAGACCTAAGCCAAGTAGGACCTGACCGGAGTAGGAGCTGGGCGGAGTATGAACTCGTCCGTAAAAACTCGTCCGTAGAACTCGTCCCGCACAATGTAGAAGGGTGGAGAATGGGATCGGGTAGAGGTCCGCAGTAGGGGATGCGCTCGCGGTTGACCACGAGAATCTTTTGACAAAAGTGGGTGACAACCTCTCGGCGGAAAAGGAAAAGAGCTGTGTGGCAAAAGAAGAGTTAATAGAGACCTTTTTTCTCCGAAGGTCATTTTGAATGAAGTAAAACCAACATAGATAAATAACTTCCACATTAGGGACTGAGTAGGGACGGAGGGGGGGCTGTGTGGTAAAGTATCTTACGTCTTCCTCCTTGCATCTTTGTATCTTGCAGAACGGTCCTAAAAACATTTACGTTATGGAAGGAGCCGGCCGTATGGAAGGAGCCGGAACGAAGCTACAGGGAGAAGGACAAAGAGGGTAGGGGGCCAAGAGAATCGGGACGTACCTAGCTTTTCGACATCCACGAGTGGGAAAGGCAGTTGAGAGGCTGCGGCATCCTCCGGTCGAAGCTGCTCTTGATCGATCCATATGTATAAAATCATGCCTTTATCTTGACAGATGACTGTACTGCTTTTGGCAATGGCAAACCAATAAAGGTGAATCCTCAACTGGAACAGCGGACTTGTGCGGTCAATAAATCGCGGAGCCCCCTCGTATTGTAAACCCGGAAGAAGATGAACAATAACATCATAAGGAGGACCTGTGATGTTCCCAGGTTTAACAGATGGAAAATATTGACGAAGTAACGCGGGATTTGCGGAATAATGGATCGGAATAGTACGAGCCTTCACCTTGTCATGATTGTTTTTGAACTCAAACGGGATCTTAGCTTCACTCAAACACGATGTCACTTCCAACGAAAAATGCTCGTCCGGCCCACAATTCAATTTAGACCGCCACTGAGCCAAGTTATCAATCATGCATTGCGCAAATGTAAAGTTATCATCACCAACCAACAGCACTTTCTAAAAAGTAAATATCACCGCCAACCAACAAAATGCTCTAACCATTTGGGATCCTAGAAGATGTTTTGCCTGAGATGTTTTTTTCCAAAAAAAAACACATGCATGACTTATATTGCACTCGATTGCTCCCGAAAAGTGTGTGCACACGTTTTCAAAAAGCGTATATGTCTGACAGCGCACCTCGCATCACCTATTCCGCCTTCACATGTGGACTAGCAGCGAACAACTATCTCAGCTATGGTGCAGCACCGGACATATTACGAGAATCCCATCAATGCACAAATCTTGGTGTCTCTGAAGGGTGGCGCGGCTATCGGGTTTGTTGGGTCAGCTATTAAATCCTGGATACCGTTCACATTGCGAGTGTATCGCATGCGCATACTGGCACTTATTGTATTTGATGTTGTAATAACATTCTGCTAGACTAAGTACATTAACTAAACTATCTTCATCTAACCTATGGAGTTCGCTTATACCTGGATTAGAGGTCAATTGATTAGAGGGTAGGCGAGGGCAAGGGCGATGTGAAGTGAACGTATACCTAATGTGGAGGAGAGTGCACGTACCTTGAATATTGTACAGAGTGGCAAGAAGATGTCGAATGAATTCCTGTTTATCTTGAAATTGCTTTGTGGTCTCGAAAGGTCGAGGCTGTGATAAGAGTTGAATTAGATCCTCCTTGGTGTTTTCCATTTATGCGGCGAAAAATTGTGGTCTCTTCAGATGACGATGAGCCAATTAAAAGAGTACCAGTGAACGATGAGGAAGACGAGGATGCTCCGCTACTCGTGCAGAAACAGACCGTTAGAATAACTACGCATGCGCGAACTGGTCCGCCGACGGGACCCAATTTGTTGGAGACGGAGCAAGTGGGAGCCCCTACTAAGGTCCAGGCCGCGGAGGTCCGGGATGCGGCGGACCCGACAGTGCCGGACGACCCGATGGTTGACGACCAGATGGTGGACGACCAGATGGTGGACGAGCGGATGGTTGAAGAGAAAGGGGTGCGACGGCCGTCGGTCGAAGATCAGGCTGCCAGTGACAGCGAAGAAGACACTCCGCTTGTTCAAGCAGGAAGGAAGCCGCGTGGACTCTCTCGGCCAGACGTCAACATGTCTGACTCGGATGACGACGACTTTTTGATGCCGACGAAAGCAGCCCCGATCGCACAGAAACGGGCCCCGCCCTCTCGACCGTCCGTGTCTCTGGAGTCTCTCAAGGTGCGCACCAGTAGCACTGGGAGCACAGCAGGCAGTCGTGCCGCGGCTCGACAGAAGGGAGGTGCGAGTCCTAAGACCTCAGCCAAGCGCAAAGCCTCCACGACCAAATCGTCTACGACCAAAGCCTCTACAACCAAGGCGTCTACGACCAAAGCCTCCACAACCAAGGCGTCTGCGACGAAGACCACTGCGGCTAAGACCGCCACGACCAAAACCGAGAAAGCTAAGACTGAGAAAGCCATGGAAAGCGGGGCCGAAGACAGTCTGGAAGACGAGGAGGAGGAGGTTTGCGTATTCAAGGAGGGACAGGTGAAGGCCTGCCCGCCTATGGGCGACGCACAACGCGCCTTTTACGAGTCCCTGCTAGCCGAGAATCCCAGATCCATCATTGCCATCAAGTACTGCGTAGAACAAGGCGTCCTTATGGGCACTCAGGCGAAAGAGACCCTCCGCAAGTACTACGCCTTAAAGGATGTTGGCGCCTTCAGACCAATTAACCTTGGTGGCCTCAAACCACAATTCGCTTCCGTCTTCGAATCCTAACCGAGACTGAGTTGAGAACGAGACTTCAGTCGTAACCGAGGACTGAGGGTTGCGGAGGGTGGGAGGGAGGTGCCAAGTCACTTGTGCTCAGAGGGGCATGATGTAAGTGGGTGGGATGTGAGGTCAGCTGGGAGCATTAGGTCTCGTGGGGCCGGTCGGCGGTGTGGGGTCGAGTTGGGCAGGTGGCCTGGAGTGAGGGGAGCTGGCCTGGAGTGAGGGGAGCTGGCCTGGAGTGTGCTATTTTTAACGGAATGGAATTCACCCAGCGGGCTGTCTACCAGCAGACAGTCACTGCCGATGTGATAGGAGAAGTAGAAGTGCCCATGGCTGGTCCTGCAACGACCACAGTCGCGGGTTCAGTTCGCGGGTCGGACGTCCAAGACTCCTTAAGGCAGCGGGAGTCCGGAGCCGCGGTCGCTTCCGAGAGGCGGGAAGTCAAGCCACGACCGGCTACTCTAGGGAGGACGGCCGGGCCGCCGCCGCCGGGGATTCCCTACTATAACCCGTTAGCCGCCTCGGAGGACGCGCTAGAGCCAGAGCTCGGTCGCGTAACGAGAGAATTCTGCCTCTCCTCGCTCGTGGAGACACAGCAAACAAAGCTGGCCAGAAAACGCGAACTGCAAGCCTTCCGCGAACAACAGCTGGAAACGCGTGTTGTCAAAGTCAGGGATGCACTCGACGAAGAAAAAGAAGAAGAAGGAAACGCCAAAAGAAAGTATCAAGCTCGGGAAAACTCTCTCATAACCAATTCTCTCTTTATGGTCAACGCTGACACTGAGTCACAGCCCACCCCCAGTCAAACAGTCATCGCCATTCAAGCGAACGGTCAGAACAATCCTACCACGTCACCTGAAGGTCAGAGCGCCGCTCCTGGTCAGACCGCTACCAGTCAGAGTAATGCAGGTCGTGGTGGTGCTGCTGAATTAGACCGTCCCTTACTGCAAGGATACGAGAGTGAGACTAGCAGTAGCGATTATAACTGCTCGTCCTCGGAGGGGTAGCCCCACTCTGTCCAAGTCTGATTTAGAACCAGCTATATATAACCGAGCGACCTTGGACCGACCAGGACGGACATAAGGGCGAGCTTGGACCGACCCGACGCCCCCGGACGCACCTGAGGGGCGGGAACCGACCCAGTCATGAAGTGGCGATGCTGCAGCGTCTCTGCCTGGCGTCTCTGCCTGGCGTCTTATAAGACGGTATTTGCAATCGCGTCTTCTGAAAGAGGAATGATGAGCTGTGTTGTCTGTCTTGTTTTATACACACGCGTTTGATAGAGCGGCGTTTGATAGAGCGGCGTTTGATAGAGCGACAGTGGTAGGGAATGTGTGGGCAGCCGAGACAAAGTGTGTGTGTGTGTGTGATTACTAAGTGTTTGTAATTTGCGTTCATCTTGTTTAATGAGCGTTTGTATAGTGTCTTTAAGAGTGTTGAGTTGTCGCTGGAGTTGGTCTGCGGCGGTGAGTGCTTCTTGTCTAGCGTTTTTTTCTTCGGCTAGGATGGTCTTTGGGTCCTCATATGTGGTCAGTGGAAGTGGATATTTATGGGTCATTTTTTCGGCGAGTTTGAGAGAGTCTAGTTGTTCGTAATTATTGTTGTGTACGACTCTGAGCATATTGCGTAAAGTGTCTAGTCGGGCTTCGCAGAGTACATCTTGGGTCTGGTTGCACGTTTCGAGTATTTTGAGGCTCTTGTTGAGACGGCTGGTTTCATCGTTGATGTCGCCTAGTGCGCGTAGCGTGTCCAGTACGGTAAAGGTTCGCTCGTGCTTGCTCATTGTCAACTTGGCGGTTTTGGGACTCCCGTGGGCGGGGACGCGCGTTTGTTGCTCGTCTGTCATGGCCGCCAGACAGTCCGTGGTCACCTTGACCGTCTCGAGGGTCAGGTCTGCGATCTGGCTCGAGTACTCCAGAGCGCTGCCCTTCTCGAACGCGCTACCACTCGTCAACGCACTGCCCTCCAACACACCACTGCCCTCCATCCCGGATTTTTCGAACCGAAATGTCGAACCGATACTTTGACCGTGGGGAAGGCAGGAACGAGGGACGGTCATATGGAGGCGAAGGCAGGCAGTATGGCGGCGAAGGTAGACCGTACGGCGGCGAAGGCCGTGGTGGTGAAGGCCGTGGTGGTGAAGGCCGTGGTAGTGAAGGCCGCGGTGGTGAAGGCCGGGGACCATATGGGCGGCGAGGCGGGCGGCAAAGCGGTGGCCGGCGGTCTGGGAACGAAATTGATGACGCAGCGAACCTGAAATACAAGTTGGTGAAGTTGGGCGACCAGCCGGACCGGTTGCTGGGAGGAATTAAGGACGCTGCGGGTGTCGTAGATTCATTTCTTTCTCACGACTTCAGAACGTTTCTGAACAGCTTGTTGCAGGACGTACCTTCGGGGCTTGACCTGAGTGGGGAGGCGATCAGTCAGTATGTGCACCGCCAGGCGGCGAACATCTCGGATGCGACGTTGGCCAACCGGTTGCCGAGTGTCAAGTTGCTGCTGGACGTACTTATGGACTGCGCAAGTGCTTTGCCGCACAAACATTCGTACTACGTAGCCATGTTCTGGTACATGGTCCATGACACGCTGGGCGGCTACCCGCCGCCTGCGGCCGAGGCCAAGGCCGACGGTGAAGGCAAGGGAGATGTAAGTACCCTTCGCCAGGAGATTAGCGAGGCACTCACCAAACTGGCACACATGAGGAACGACGGCTCAGGCGGTACAAGTGGTAACGCTAATGGTGGCCTGGCGCGCGTCAAAGGTGAAGTCAGTCTCAATGACGATGATCCGCAGGTCGTTGCCCTCGTTGACAAGCCGCACGCACCCGTCAAACATGAGAGCAAGTTCGGCCTCGAAAACCGCGTCGACTACCGTGACCGCAGCGTCTTTTACCTAGTCGTCCTTGCCATCTGGGTAGACCGTATGTGGACACAACTCCAACATCTAGCCGCCTGCAAAAGCGGCCTCCACGAACTCCCTAGGGCCCACGGCCTGCTCCGTGTCCTGGCTGACCTCGCTAATGTCAACATGCTCCATCGCAACCAAGTTGTCGCGCTCTGCAGAAGCCTTATTACCCACAACCGGCCCCTAACACAGGACAATTCGGGTCAGGACAATCTGGGTCAACCGGAGAGTGCCACTCACTCCTCCGGCAGACGATTTGAATTGTTTCTCGAGGACCCCGCGAACAATGTGTGTCTGGACCAACGCGTGGTGGAGGTGGTCCTGGGTGGTACGACCCTGATGTGGCTGGCCAATCGCGTGTACGTGGAACACCAGGCCGCTGTGGACGAGTTGGTTGACTACGTAGCGCAATTTTGCGCCTATGTCGCACACGACCCGGAACTGAACGTGCGAAAACAGCTGGAATCCGCCGCATTCACCTTTAACCCGCACGGGGAGTTAGTGTCTGGTGACATTGCCGCTACCGACTGTCCTGCTGTAGTATATGACCAACTCATGCTCTTTGCTGAGGCGTTACACTCGTTGCGTCAGCGTCAGTGGACACCCAAGTCGCTTCCCCGCCTGTACGACAGTGCCAAGCTTAAGGAACTGACTAGACGTGTGTTCGACGTTCCGCTCTACCTCGTTGCCCCCGCCACCATGTCTGGCGATGCAGCCATGACCGGTGCGACGGCCGATTCGGCTCAGATCGCATTAAGCATCGGGAACTGGACAGAATTCGTTGCACACAAGTTTGAGAGACGTTACCCACGACGGATGCAGACGGAGTCTTCATTGGAGGCGTGTACGCAGGTACAACTGTGGAAGGCGCCGCCTTCGGAGTTGACTTGGTGCGTTGAGCACCGACGAAGATGTCTATTGGATTTATTGAACGCGCAATACATGACAGGACAGGTAGAAGTAGAGTTGATGCAGCCATGCGACGTGTACATTCTTAGTGTGTATGTAGAGCACACACTCGCGCTCTTTTGTCAGGATCTGGATCAGTGTGCGGAGACACTATTAATAATTCCATGCAAGCATGATCAGTTTACGTTGACGTTAATAAATCAGATTTTCGAGTGTGTGTTCTCCTCCACCCCGGCGCTAGGTGGTTTGTCGGGGACATATGTGCAGGATGGCGTGTTTGCCGCACAATTGTTTAAGCGGTTGTGTATTTTGGAGAAATCGCTGTTGCCACATCTTCATAAGGCGATTGCCAGTTTGTTGGAAAAGGCTGACGGATTCAGCGAGTTTACAACGCAGCGCGTGGTGGACTTTCTGGCCAACTGGATGACGTGTGGGGAGGACTATGGACACAGCGTGTGCAACTTGTTTGCCGAGGTGCCCGCACTCGCGCCACTTTTCAACAACAGTCGTTTCAACCTGAAGAACGAAGATGGCGAGGAACGTGTAGGACGCACAGTACTGCGACCGGTCGAGTCGATGCTGACACCGATGCAACAGTTCTGCGGTGATAACGCGGCATTACGAGTACTGGTACTAACATTGACGCGGATGTCGCTATTAACGGGACACCCCCAGGCCGTGTGCCAAAAACTACCCGGTTTCATGCGTAAACTGACGCCGGAACACGACCTGGTGGCGTTCAACCCGGCGGAGCGTCTCCTGTTTTGCGCGGTCGACGCAGACGATGCCGCTCGTTGCCGGATTCCGAGCGACTTGCCGGGTATGAAGGCTCTTCGCTTCGACCAGCGTGCGCCGCTGGAAGCCACGCTGCTCCGTGACCTAATGCGGCTCCAACTGGTCGGTGGACGTCGAGAGGATGCGGTCATTGTCGGCGAGTGTGCGGCACTGTTGCGAGACTTGGTGGGGACGGCTTTTATTCAGAGCTTGCGAGAATTCTCGCGGAACGAACAAGACGAGCTGCTTTTCGCCCACCTCGCCAAGGCCGAGACTCTCGGCGGCCTGGTTAAGGGCGAGACTGTGCCTCTCGTTAAGAGCGAACTCGGTGGACCCGCCCTCCCTGCTGAGGACGAAGATATCATCCTTAAAAGCTTCCAAAGACACAGCGCACTACTCAGCCAACCGCTCTCCCGCTTCGATGCGGCCGAATGGGTCTGGACCAAGAGCTCTGTCAGCAAACTACTGGCCATGACCATGGTTACGATTGGCTGTCGCACCTTAAGCCACTTCCAGAAGACTTTCGAACTCTACACCCCGGTAATCCGCCTGTGGAAGGAGCATCTTATGCGCACCCGACGAGAAGCAGACGAGGCCATGGCTGAAGGCGGTGGTTCTGCAGAGGGCGCCATAGGAGACGCCACGGGCGGCAGCGCTGTTGGTGATGATGGGACAAGCGACGTGGAGTTGTTTGAGACATATCTATTGGAGGCTGCCTTTGAGTTGTTTGTCGGCGCTAATAACATCCGAAGGTTAGAGGCAGTGTATAATCATCTGATTAATCGCGACTGTGTGAGTATTCACACACTCTCTAAGTTCCTGACCACCGGCAATTTTCTGCACACATTAGCGGGAGATTACATGCTGTGGAATATACTTGACCTGTTTGTTAACAATGTAGCTAGTTCGCCCAGCTATAACTTGGGCGTCACGGAGAACGTCATGCGAGAATACAAGCGGCCGTCTAGACGACGAGACGATGACTACGTCGACGTCAAAAGCGAGGGACGACGTGAGGAACCGACACCCGAGGCCTTTGCAGAGCCAACGCTTAAACTAAGTCAAGAAGATCTTTTCCAAGTCATTTTGACACTGTTGAGCTGTCTCATAGAACGCAACGAGCCCTTTGCCGCAAAACGAGCAGTGCGATTGCTCCAAGTGGCGCAAAAACACCTGTCGGAGCCGCTCTTCTCCCAGCTATCGGACAAAACTCATGAAGCCTGGGGCTGGGAGAAGAAAATGTTCGTTTCTGCGTAACCCTGCGAACGTCAAGAGCTACGCTCTCGAAGGGCGTAACTCTGGTTAGCAATGCATATCAGAGCGCACACGCGCACACGGCCAAGTGCCCTGAGAGTGAGGTTTTTGTTAATAAATGTTATCGGCCGCAAGACGTGATAGTCATCCTGGGTTAAATGAATTGGATTTGGGGGTCAAGACGACTGTAATTGATTTCGCTCGGTCACGCGTCCTCAATGCGCGCAGTGACCAAGGTAGTTTGCAAGATGTCCTGGGAAAGAACGAGGCCTCCATCGCCATGATTAGTGATGCTGACCATGAGCTCATTATCAGCCTCGTCTTCAAAGACCCCACGACCATTACCAACGTAACGCACCTAGCGGACCCCCCAACTAGCGGACCCCCCAACTAGCGGACTCCCAACTAGCGGACCCCCCAACTAGCGGACTTTCTGTAGGTTCAATTCGTGTCCGGCGAACAACCGGATGATAACCATTCTGGACCTAAACATGTGGAT